AAGCAAATCAACGAACTGCTCGAGCGTTGTACTCATGCAGTAAGTTCTTCCTTGTTTGTTGGACACCTGATTAGACAAAGAGACAGTATTTCTCAAGTTTCTTTAAAGTACAGTTACTTTACTTTACGGTTTCCAAGTGACTTCGTCCTTAATCAGCTGTCGGATCGGTCAAGACGAATTGTATCATTGAACGCACACTGCGCACCACACGGCGATACTCTCGGTACCGATGCACACTGAGGTGAATGCCATGCACAAAGGCATTAGCTGTTAATAAGGAAATTGTAGTTGCGCAGTGAATTTGCTCCCGGCATTGCTTATGAAGTGCAACGAAAAACTATTTAGGCACAACGTCACTCCCTCCCACACACATACACAAACAATCAGGTATTTTGCACTTTGATTTTGCCTATTTCAGGCAATACATCCTTCATTGTAAATGTGCCTGGGTATGAGTTTATAGGTCAGTGTAAATATCTGAAACAATCTGTACGATTACATTGTGGTCGCGTTAGATTCACCGAGCATATAAATCGAGGTTCAAACGAATTCATGAAACTGTCTTTTTTGTGCTTGCAAATTACGTATTAACTCGGTACCAGTGGGCACGCTGTGTGCAACCGTTGATTGAAGGGATAATGTTGGTGTATCCTTGGTCACTGAGACCAGAGTTGCTAAGTTTGTAGAGCGTTGACTCAGAACCAAGAAGTCCTGACTTCAAACATGGTCAGATTACACGTGTTTCTTTTTTCGGAGATTGATAAATAAGTATCACTCTGGGAAGTAATGGGAAGAAAACTGTAAACCACACACTATGCCTGCCACAAACCGCTGTCGATTATGCCTTTAAAATAAGGCACCCTTAGGCGATGATGACATGAAAATGGAAGTCGATGCCCAACGATCAACATCGTGAAATGAAGGTTGTTAGAAATAGCTCACTCATTAAAGTGTAAGGAAGGTCAATATTCTTACGGTTACAGACTTTCCTTCCATACTTTTTTGTTTGGTCACTGAAGGCTCTCGGAAGTAACAAGATGCTTGAAATCACTTGGTTTATCAGTTTGACTGCCTGCTGATATATTGTTTATTTCATATAGCTGTTTTATTTTGCTTCACTTTATGTTTGATGAAAGTCATTCCATATTTCTTTTTTATGTCTCGTTTTAGCTTATTTATTTATCAAGAGTTTGCTTCAGTTTTTTAAACTTAATTTGCGTTTAGAGTGGCAACGACATCAGGTTAAAGCCTCTGAGTAGTCGCCTGTTGCAGAGACAATCGTTCACGGTTCACGTCGGATCAGACATGAATGGCGACATGATGTTTCTCGAAGTAAGCAACGACGTGAAGTGCTTAATTGTGTAGAGCTACGAAAGCTGCACCGCTGTTTTTGATCACCGTCACGAGTCATCTTTTAGGTTTGTGATGATTTGATTATTCTTCGCGGTTTAAATGGCAGCATACTGGACCGTTGGTGGTACGAGAATCTGATCAACATGACCTATTCGCCAAGGACTAGGGTGTTGTGTTTATGGCGTCAAACAAATGATGGCAAAGTTTCGCTGCACAAGTTCTGTACTCGCAAGGTATGCTGTTAGCTTTTAGGAACCATGCCATTTTCAGCGTATATTCAATTGAATTCAAACCAGTTTTTTGGTTCAATCGTACCTTTGAAATTATAACCATAAGGCGATCCTTTGATGACAGGTTTTCTTCATTATCAGTCGAGGTAAAATGTTGTAAATCAGCCTTATTTCACTGGGTATGGAATAAAATCTAAATATTTGATTATGAAGATCCTCCTTTGACTGCTTTCTTAAATATTAGGTGCTCGTTGACATCCTCCAACTGCAATGACCTGGTTTGGGTTCAATGCAGCAACGTCAGAGGGTCACGTATATGGCAGACTGCTTAATGATTAGATGCGCGACCGAGTGTTAATGGTTGCAGAAACGAGACCGAGATGATATATTTTTCTGTTTTACACTTTTTAACTGATGTTCATTCAAGAGAAGGGCACGACAGTTAGGAGCTGTTGGAATGTCGGTCTTCTTTACACTTTCATGGTTGGAAGCCATTTCTGCAACCTGATTTCATGAAGTTAACGGTGGAGCGCTGATCTTCATTTCCGCACCACCAGCCATGTGCGTCTTACTTTAAAGGAGAGTCAACTTTAAAGGTGGGGTACAGTTATGTGACGAGCATAGTGTGTAGTCTTCCGTTTCGTCTCCCAGACTGGCACTCATTTTTCATTCTCGGAAGGAAGAAAGGCGAGTGACTCAAACGTGGCTCGAATCGGGACATCTCTGTTTTGACTCTGTCGTTAAACCGACTGAACAACCAACTACGGTCATTTGTCCGGTGATTTTTGTTCACCCGTCAGATAGGTCTGACTACTCATCGAACAACTTGGTCACGTCTTGCACGCTCTAGCATGACAGCATTAGCAGGATGGTTCTTATCATTCTCATTGCTGGTCGGGCCGAACCATAGTTGGTTAGTTCTTTGTTCAAGAGAATCAGCAGTTAACC